GATGATACTTTTACCCCTCCAGGAACTTCCTACTCAAAGATTATCGTTCAAATAGAATCTAAGAAAACTCCAATAATAAACAAAACAAGACATCATGACTCTGATATCAGTTTCGATGATACTCCACCACCAACCCCACGAACCCCTTTCAATTCCAACAATTGGCTCATGAAATCTCCAGTAACTCCAATTTCAACTTACACAACTAACCCATCTCCACTAAAGAAGACAAGAGTCAATGAGCCGAAGTTAGAATCAAATAAAAAGCCAAAAGACTGTAAAAGTGGCATGATCAATAACAATTCAATTGACAGCAACATCAATAAACCAAAAGGTAACAAGAACAACGATGAATCAAAAGACAAGCCAACCAAGACAACTTTCATTCCAGTCTTCCAAAAACCTCATAACCTAAAGTATAAGAGAAAGTATCAAACTACTAACCAATTTCCTAGTTACTTTTTCACTAATCAAAGATTCACGATGCACTCATCAATAGATTTTGTTAGCGCTTTAAGCTTGGAACCACTGCCTTCGGTGGATTACAATTTGAAAGCAATCAAGTGTGGAAATAGAAATAGTTAATATTTAAATAGACTTTAATAAAGTAAAAAAGACATAATTACTTCAGGAATACTCTTTTTAACATCCTACCTTTATCCAACTCCATTGGTCAAAAATTTCAAAGTTCAAAAGCTTCATCTTCATCAAATTCTTCACCTTCACTAAATGAGTTCTCTTCATCATCATGAATATCATTTTCTTCGCTGTCATATTCTATTTCAGACACAATCTTTTCTTCATCATTGTCATCATCACCTTGGTCATCACTATCTTCGTATTCGCTTTCTGGTACCTTTTGCAAACTGTCCTTCTCAGAAAAGTTTGCCTTTGCTGGTTCTTCTTCAACATAGTCCACAATAATTGCAGTCTTATCGATATCATCAAACTCTCTAAACGATTCTAGCTTCTTACTGCAACGGAGACAAATGTCGTTTTCTCCGTCCGAGATTTCCATAGCATTGAACCTAGTACTTATGCAGACATAGCAATATATGTGTCCACAGTTGGTTATATAAGGGTTGGTAATGGGGAAAAGTCCATCCGTTGCTGTAGAAGGTCTCGATCTTTCTTTCACACTGTTCTCTATACATATCGCACATTGGGATATTGGCAAATTTGTGTATGGAGTTATTTTGCTTTCGTTACCATAATTAAGCTCCTTCTTTCCTCCGCTTACCAACCTATTAAACCTTCTTCTCATACTCTTCAACTTTAAAAGGGGTAAGATAAAGACTAGGAATTCCGTCATGACATTCCAAACCAATTGACGGTTCTGAAACTCGAAATTCACGTTATCTCCATTGAATTTAAGTAAATCTGTTACCACGGGAGTTAAAGAAATACCTAGTAATCTATGTACTACAGTAGGGAACTTCCCATTTACCAAGAATAAAATGAAATTTAAGAGATTCACAATCTTCAACGTTTCATTGATTTTTGTTAGCAACTTGTCCCTATTCTTGACTAAGAAGTTCAATGCACGTTGTAGTATACCTTTCAGTCTAGTTGCCGATATTTCTGCTTCATCTTTGGAGTATAAATATGACTCAAATTTTTGAAATATGTATTCTCCAACGAGAATTGCGCATAGCAACAGCCTCTTGTTATATCCTATTAATTTACCATTTTTGAAATTTGCAAGTTTCAAGTTCTGTAAGGATAGCCCATATGAAGATCCATTCTTCCAAACGGTCAATCGAAATACAAGCAAATTTAATAATAGAGTCCAAAATTCTGGATGTTGGTTATAAGTCCACCACGATGTAGTGTGCAATTGAAAAATCGACACAAGTTGTTGCTTTAATAGAGACAGAAGTTCAGAATCCAAAATATGTGCATCAAGCTGAGAAACCCTAGGAGAAGGGTACGATATTCTAACCATTCTTAGACTGAAATCGTCGTATAATACTGAAGGTAAGGCTGCTTCTGTACTTTTAGAAAGTTGCTTTCCCCACATTCAACTTTTTTTAGTAGAAAGCTCGGTTCAATTATTTGTTACATGCAGGAATATCACCATATTGTGCTACAGTAGAGCAGAACCACTTGCCATTTTGATATACTATTTTTATGGAGTAGAGGGGGTCAGTGCTTAGTGAATATACAATTCACTGCTGACCAGTGAGGAATAAATATAGATATTGAACTTTTAATATACAATCGTACCACGTTCTCTAAAAATTAAATAGAAACATAATTTATCTTGTAAGAATGACTGTAAATAATAACTTACCAAGATGAATAAATTTGAAGAAGATCTAATTCTAGTTTAATTCCTCAAAATCAATACTTTGTACAATTCCTTTCCCAAGTTCCATACTACTGACTTTGCTTAATAATTTCAGATTGCTACCCCTTTCAACTTCAGATAACTCAATAATCGTAATTATTTCATTTGTTAACTCGTCAATCAAAACAGACCCACTCCTTAATTGTAAATTTTCTATGGTTTCTCTTAATCCCGACTTGATAACGGTTATAAATACCCGCCTGGATTCACTAGACACATCGTCTTGCGATCCGTATGAGATGAACACCCTCAAGATACGTAGTAATAAAAGCAGTATTACTGAATTTTTACTGTACAATGCCAACTTTGATTTGATATTATCAATCACTGACTCTTTAAACATGAGAGACTGAACCCTCCCTCCAATGTTTAGAAATTTCAAGTAACTATCCAAAGTAGACTCTAAATTTGAAACTTTTGGTAGAAGAAATCCGGACACAAAACAATCAATGTGACTTGGAGCTTCTAAAATAAATGCTTGTTTCGTCGGTAATTTGTCCATTTGATTATACCAGCTTAAAATTGAATCAAGTGCATTTGATTGCCAGTAAGGATCTATTATTAAGTTAAAATAAATCGAAAGCACATCATGTTTTAATAATTGCATTCTAACATGTGAGTCACAATATACAAATTCACATAATAGAGGCAACACAAATTGTCTAAAAGGTAAGTTAATCTTTGAAAATGTCTTCAAGTATGGAATTACACCTAGTTTGACAATTTCAGCTTCTTTTGTGTGGTTTAAGTAACAACAATTGTATAATATTGGACATACAATATTGATAACTTCTTTGTAATGTGAATTTTTACTTGGCTCATATTGACCTAGTAATCCAACCAAAAATTCTAAGATATCAGCGTTATACAAAGGTCTTAAAATCTCTGAAATGCATGACATAGACTTTATGAATTTCAATATTGTCAACTGATGATCAAAAGTTGGTAACTTATCAAATAACCGAATAAGTAATTTAAACAAGTCAGTATTTGCAATATTAATTCTAACTTTAGCTTCAGATTGACCAAAGTATTTGAAAATTTGAACAATATTGTCAATCAATTCAAGAACGGTATCACTATGCTTTTGTGATTTAGTTAACCTGTTGAGTACTACTGCTAGCCAAAACCCAACTCCATATTTAGATAGTATTCTACAAAGGTCGGACTTAGATCTAGTCAAATCTTTGCTTAGAATTTTGTGCATCAAGTGAATTGAAACGCTAGAAAATTCAGGATTTGAGTCAAAATCTTCCTCCACAAATTTTGATAGTATTCTAAGTCCACCTGAAGAAATAAACATTGATAAAGCCTTATCTGATGAGTTAAACAATTGAATGAACAGGACGACTTGGAGCCTAACCTCCTTACTGAAAGTAATGTTATTCTTAAAGTTCGTCACCATGGGGATTCCTCCCAAGATACAGAAATTCTCAAATTGAATAACATTCGCTTGAAATAGATAGTTCAATATAGAAAGGCAATAAAACCATAGCTTCTGGTGACTTGGATATTCATGGGCATTCTCCAAGAGTTCCAAAATAGTAAGAATACCGTGCTCTCTCACAAGAACATCATGCAGAATTGGGTATTTCTTAACTAAATGCAACATTTTCCCAGATATTTTAGTTAAGGAAGTAAAATGAACATCTTCATTATCCTTATGACAGAGTTCAACTCTTTTGGAAAATTTATTTAAAAGATAATCCATTTTGCTCTGGTTCTCAAGTTCATTCGTATCAAACGAATTAATGTCAAGTTCAAGAAATGGATCAACTTCATCATCAAAATTAGGCGTAATTAAAGCATGACCATTAGATATTCCGTTCTCAACTGCTTCACTAACATCTTCTACATCCTCCTCTTCTTGTTTATCAGAGAATTTGGATAAGAGGTCAGATTTTGATAATTGAGTAGCCTGGAAAGTTCTCAGCTTTGAATTTTGATTTTCATTTTGGAAAGTTTTAGGAATTTGTAATAATGTTCCTTTCATATCAAACCCTTCTTCCCAGTTTTCTTCTCCATTCTCAGAATAGCTAGTTATAGATTTATGTAATGACGGCTCAGAATAGCTGCCCAAACTGGTGGTGTCATTCTTTTTACCTATTCGAGGCGGTGAAAGTCGGTCGCTACTGCTTTTATTTTCACCTTGAATCCATTTATGCTTCAAAAGTAATCTTGCACTTTTCCTCAAGTTTGGTTGCTTTTGGAAACACTCCAATAAAAAGCTTTGCGCCAACTGGCTGATATTTTTCGGTAAAGGAGGATGATCATCGGTACCGATTGCGTGCAATGTCGCCATTGGGTTTAGCTCATGATATGGCGGATGAGTAGTAAATAATTCAATAATGGTAGCGCCGAATGACCAAATATCACTTGCAGTACATATTCCTTCACCTCCCAATACTGTTTCTGGGGCCATCCAATTAGGAGTACCAACTACTGACTCATATTGGTTAGTTACTTTAGTAGCTACTCCAAAGTCAGCTAATTTTATGTCATTCGTCTCTTCTATTATAAGAACGTTTGCAGCCTTAACATCTCTATGTACTACACCCTGATCATGCAAATACTCTAATCCTTGTAGTACAGCTTTCGCGTATTGGATGATTTGTTGCTCGGGTAATCCATGACCTAGTCTTTTGTAGAGCTGCCTGAGCGATCCACCAGAACAAAATTCCAAAAACACATTCAACGACGTCGAAGTTTTAACAAACCCATGGTATTTGACAATATTCGGGTGCTTCAAGATCTTAAGTAAATCTATTTCCCCCATCAACTCTGCTACATTTTGATCTGGCTCCAATAAAATCTGCTTGATGGCCACAACTTGCTTTGTTCGCAAATTGATACCTTTGTAAACAGATGCAAATGCACCTTTCCCTACCATTGTACCGAATTGAAAATTCTCTAGGACATTACTTGATCGGGTTCCTGGCCTTTTCTCAAATCTTTGAGCAGGAGTTAAAGAGATTTTGACTGAAGTTGATCTGGTTTTGGCCGGAGTTGACCCTACGTTGTTGATCTTACTTGATGCTGAGGTTGGCTTTTGGTTTGCCTTTTGTCTATCTGATGACAGGTGCCGCGTTTTACCGTACAGTAAACTCTTATTTCTATCTAATTTATTAGGATTATCGATAAACGGAGACTCATTGTTGTCATTCTTTCGTATTACATCTTCTGAAATCAGAAACATACTGGGTTTAGGAGCAGTTTTGGATCCATAGTATTCAATGTTTCGTACCTTTGATTGTATTTTTTTCGTAAATGGTGAAAAGCTTGTTGAGTTTGAAGACTTAAACTTATTCTGTGAGTTTCCCAAGCCGTTTGATATTGACGAGGATGAAGAGGATGTTCGAATAGAATCATGATTATGTTGTACACCGCGGAAAGATTTTATAGGCGCAGCTGCGTTCTGTTCATTCCAGATGACACCTACACTGCTGCTACCACCTTCTGATGAACTCGCTAGTTGCGAGAACCTAGAATAAGATAGCTTTGATACCTCTACATCCGACATATCATCTTCATCAGTACTTTCCTTGTACTTTTCAAGTAGCAGATCATGCAGGACCATTACCTTGCAATAACTAGAAGAGCTTTCTTCTTTTCTGCAATAGGTACGATATTAAGGAGGCTTTGAATTCAAGAGATCTATGTAATCAACGGACTGAAACAGGATCACCTTATTCTTATTACCACCGTATTGTAATAGCCTTTCTTTAATCGCTATCTGCTTCTTGTTCTTCTTCAAACTATGAGCCAGCTTGGAAACCATGCACATCAAATGACTGTAGACTATCGAAAAGGTAAACACAAACGCGAACCACATGCAGGTTTGCAGCCAAATATATACGAGCATGACTTTGAGCACATCTCAACCCAGGCACTTAGAGCAACCGCCAATTTGAAGTTAGGGAGAGGTTGTTTAGTAGTATTCAGAGCTCAGAGGATCTTTGCTGGAGAAATGGAGGTATACAAGAAAAAAAAAAAACTTCAATTGGTGCACATAAGAGTTTTTTGGTTGGCAGGGATTAAACAAATCAGATATGTATTATATGTAGAAGTGTAGCTAGAGAAGTTACAACTTGGTTAAAAGCTTACCAGGACCCTTAGTGTCGGAAAATAATATACCCCAAGCTTGAGGAATCTTCTTGAATCCATCTTTTTCTTTACCAAGATCAATTAAAGTGAATGTGTCCTCACCAACTTTGATCTTCCCTTCTTGTATCCATCTCAAGATATCCTTGACGCCCTTCGAGAAATCCTTGGCGTAATCAAGGATAATAAAACCCTTTACGTTCAATCTATTGGTGATGATTTGAGCCCAGTTTTTGATGAAGGACTTACTGTAATCGTTGTAACCTGCGATGGCACCACATGCAATAATGGTTCCATGAGGTTTAACCAAGGTGAGCATTTTATCTAAAATATGTCCACCGACACCATCAAAATAAACGTCAGCATAATTGGAACCTTCGTCGGTAGAGTCCCCAGCAATTGCCTTGGCTAAATCTTTACTGAATGTTTTACTTTTATAATCAACGCACGCATCAGCACCAATTGACTCCACAAACTTACACTTTTCAGGGCCACCGGAAATTCCAATCACTCTTTTACACCCAATGACATTCTTAGCGATTTGGACACAGACTGATCCAGTTGCTCCAGATGCTGCAGAAATGACAATTGTATCGGTTGCCTTCAATTGAGCAACATCAAGTAACCCAAAGTACGCTGTCAACCCAGTCAAACCAATGGTGTCAATAAATAAAGTCAAGGGTAATTTGGAAGGTGGGATCTTGTTAAAGATCCCATCCTTCTTAACGATGGAGTATTCTTGCCATCCTAAGCTACAGCTTACAAAATCACCAACTTTGAAGTTCTTATTGGTGGATTTGACAACTTGCCCCAATCCAGTCGATCTCATCACCTGGCCTGGTAACACAAGAGGCACGTACATTCTTTTGGGATCCATGCCCTTTTGAATCCAAGATCTTTGCGTGGGATCATTTGAAAGGTAAAGGGTCTTAACGAGAATTTCATCTGCACGAAGTTCTCTAATTGGGGTGGTGGAAAGTTCGAAAGTGGAACTTTCTTCACCAAGGTTCAAGTTAACGTCGGTTACTGCAGATTGTTTTAATGTGAAGGTTTTGGTAGTAGTTGGGACCATAATGTAAGTGTATTTTCAAGATTAAAAATAAGGAATAACTGAAAATGAAAAATTGAAGTGAAAAAGAAATAAAGGCCAAGATAGCAGTTATCTTTATACATCTTATAAAATACCCACTCCTCCATTCGGGTCCATTCCTAGCTAGCAGCGATGGGCTGCCCAGCTGAAAAATCCCAGAAGTCGCGGGGATCTTCCTGCGAGTCCCCCACATTTCGGTTCCAGGGCCGATTTTTCGATGCATCAGTACGCTGTACAATGGAATCCGGGGCGAATATTTACCCGAAAGCACTAGAAAAGGCATGTAGAGTTTTAAAGAATCGTGCTGATATCTTGCTTAGAATAGAAAAGGCACTCCAAACCGGAAGAGTACCGTTGGTAACGTTTATCTCGCATCTCCATCTATGCACAAAAAGGGGCACAAGATTCCGTTTCCCCCGAATACACTTTCTTTTTTTTTTTTGACTATAGGTTCTTATTGGAGACTCTTGTTAGAGATCTGCTACGTCGCTCTATTCGCTCAGTGCTTATTAGTACGTTAAATATCTTATTTTGTATATTTTAAATTTCTTATAATTTTTACTTTCTTATCATTTGCTTCTACAACCTCCAGCAGACTTCACCTTCAAAAGCATCTATTGTAGAACATGCAATTCAATTTTCCATTAAATGAATTCTCTCCCTAAGTTCTCACATCCGGTTCGATTCTACCCAAATGCTCCTGGAATCCTAAAAAGTCTAACACAAACTTGATTTCATCTTCAAGATATTTATCCACGCCCTGTTGGTAGGTTTCTGGGTCCGAAGAGTGCTTCTCCAAGTATAACCTTACGGTGGCACCTGATGAACCAGTACCCGATAATCTAACGATGAATCTTAAGCCGTTGGTAAATTTGACAAACAACCCTTGCTTTGCAGAGACTGAACCATCCAAGTCAGTGTAGGAGAAGTTATCAGCTTCGGCAACAGTATATCCAGGTGCTAATTGTGATCCCACAAAATCAGACTTGACAATCTTGTCTTCTAAAAGCTTCACAATTTCATTGGCTCCTTCGCTTGACACATTCTCAAAGTCATATCTGGTAAAGAAAGTTCTACCATACTTTTTCCAGAAGTTATCTTGAACCAACTTAATGGAAGTGACTTCATCGGATTCGTTCTCCTTGTCAAATGCTGCCAAGACATTTAACCATGCAATAATGGCCCATAAACCATCTTTCTCTCTGATGTGATCAGATCCAGTACCAAAAGATTCTTCACCACAAATAGATAATTTTTTGGCATCGAAAAGTGAGCAAAAGAACTTCCAACCTGTTGGTACTTCATAAATTGAGAGACCTTGTTCCTTAGCGACTAGGTCAAGGGCTCCACTGGTAGGCATAGATCTAGCTAAACCATTAACTCCACCTTTAGCAAAATATGGAATGCTCTTAGCATGTTCGGCAATGATAGCGACCGAATCACCAGGCGAGACAAAAGTTCCAGCCCCGTAAATCATATTTCTGTCACCATCACCATCCGAAGCAGCACCAAAACTGATATTTTCCTTATCAACTCTCTCTACTAAGGTGTGAGCATAAGTCAAGTTTGGATCTGGGTGTAAGCCACCAAAATCTGGTAAAGGCTTATAATTTTGAATGGAGTCGTAACTTAATCCCAATTCCTTAACGAAAATGTCTTCTCCGTAAGGTCCGGTGACACCATTGAGCGCATCAAAGAGAACCTTGAAACCCTTTGGTTGAGATTTTTCAACGAACAGCTTAATGAGCGCGAAATCAAAAATCTCCTTTAACATGATAGTGTAAAGTTCAGTAGAATCAATGATCTCAATTTCCAACCCATTTACATTATTGGAACCAATTTTACTGAGGTCAATTTCTGGTAAATCTTGAACCAATTTGTATTCAGTTAATTTTGTAGAAATATCATAAATCTTGTTTGTTACTGATTCTGGAGCTGGTCCACCATTGGCAAGATTATACTTGATCCCCAAATCATTGGTGGGTCCACCAGGATTATGACTAGCAGTCAAAATTATTCCTCCAGTTGCTCCCAACTTTCTAATTACATGAGACGTAGCAGGGGTCAGAAGAATCCCATTTTGCCCGATAATTAATTTCTTGACACCATTACCAGCTGAGATCTTGGCGATCAATTGGATCACTTTATCATTGTAGTATCTACCGTCACCTCCAATAACCAATGTCGAATCTTTCACACCTTCTGGAATTGCTTCTAAAATTGCTTGAATGAAGTTTTCTGTGTAATGTTCAGTTTTGAAGACTGTGACTTTCTTTCTAAGGCCTGAAGTTCCAGGCTTTTGATCCTGGAATGCAGTGGTCTTGACTGAGGTAATTGACATTATTGCTCAATAAATTTTGAAATTAGTGAATAGACGTAGTAAGGAGTCTTTAAAGAAAAGCAGTTCTGTTTTGCTTTTGCTGGCGGAGGTGAATTTTTTTTTTCTTTTTGCTGAGGGCTAAGGAGAAAAATTAATTAGTCCACTTAGAACTTGTTTGCTTCTGTTAGCCTTTTGGTTAGAATTCTAGATTGGAAGAATTGTAATTCAATAATTGATTCAATCCTCCCTTATTAGAGATTTTCCGATTTCAAGGGGAATTGCTTACAGTTAAATAGTCGCCGAAGTCTCCCCACTCTCACTCTCACTAAAGTTGCAGCACATCCTTTCACGAGTGATCTCCCCAAAATTGATCCCGTTCCCCCAAAAAATTAGGGAAAAATTAAAAAAATTCTCGAAAATGGGGTGACGAAACGGAAATGTGGGGAGGTCTATCGGGCTATTTTTCAGTGAGCAAGAGCAAAGAAGAAGGCAGCAACAAGTTAATATGCACACAGGAATAACTCCAGAGCAAACATATATGTATGTGGATCAATTGATTCGTTAATATGCTAGGGAAAGGGCTTTCAATTGCAACAGTAGGCAAACTTCGAACCCTCTAGAACTAGGGCATTGTTAGCCGTTCGCTAATAAATTATCCAGCGCCTAGCATTGACATCATTTTTTTTTTGTTGACCTCAGGGGGTTCACTTGCATTCCCCACTTTATGGAAAAATAGATGGACTGAAGAGAAGAAAACACTTGGTCTCCCAGGCTTCCCTCTCACTGTTCTTCCAAGACATACATCGCATCAGAAGGTGTAGAAAATAAAGTTTAAGAAAAGGCACAAAGTACGGTGAAAGCAAAGTTTGGTTGTGATCGCCGATTTACTCCGGAATGTGTGAATATTTCATGTACGAAAAAGAATGGTTGCAAAATGTAAGGGCTTTCTTGCTAGTAGAAGCTATCGTGAAAGATTATTATTGCTTGGAACATTTCATAAAGAGCTTTCTTGCTTGTGGAACCTTTCATGACAGATGATTATTGTTTATAGTACCTTTCATGACAGATTATTATTGCTTGTAGAACATTTCACGAAAGAGCTTTCTTGCTTGTAGAACCTTTCATGTACGACCATTCCTGCTTGTAGGACTTTTCATGTACGATCAATCCTGCTTGTAGAACCTTTATTGTAAGATTATCCGTGCAAACTGGGTGCTAGCTACCGCAGGTTGGTTGAGTTCAATCCCAATGGTCTAATCAGCCACAAATGCAACTTGAACTAAATAGTAGATTTTTACATACTACATTTTTTGGACTCTAATCTTGCTCGTGCATTCATATAAATATATTATCGGTTTATCTTATTCTTTTTTAAATAGCAATACTTTTTATACAAGTGACTCCCTCATTAATTAAGTGGGATGGATCTATTTGGCAATAACCTTGTTGACTGCATCAGCCAAGTAATCAACATTGCTTTCGTTGATACCAGAAATGGAGAATCTACCATCTTCGGTAGCGTAAACAGAGTATTTTTCTCTCAATTCAATAACTTGTTCTTTAGTTAAACCGGTGTAGACGAACATACCTCTTTGCTTGTTTAAATGTTCCCAGTTGTAGTTGGTCTTGTCCAACTTTTCGTAAAACTTAGTTCTAATAGAGTTTAAACGTCCAACAACGCTGTTCAAGTCAGATAACCACGATTGGAAAAGTGATTCATCAGCAAAAATTTGTTCAACAATCTTGGAACCGTGAATTGGTGGAGATGAGTACATTGGTCTAATCAATTTCTTTAATTGGGATTCAATTCTAGTGGATGCCTCTTGAGATTCAGTGACAATAGAAATTGATCCGGTTCTTTCACCGTACAATCCCATGTTCTTAGCGAAAGATTGACATAAGGCGTATGATGGAATGTTTCCTGCAACAACCAATTCGTTTAATCTACGGATTAAAGAGATATCCTTGTATGGGTCACCAGAGGCAAAACCTTGGTAAGCCATGTCGACTAATGGGTAGAAGGATTTTTCTTGGACAATAGCTAAAACTTCATCCCATTGTTCGGCAGTTAAGTCCATACCAGTTGGGTTGTGACAACATGCGTGTAACAACACAATGCTACCTTCTTGAGCGTTTTGTAAACTAGACTTCAAGTTTTCAAAGTCTAATCCGTTAACGGAAGTGTCATAGTAAGAATAGAATTCAGAAGTGATTCCTGCATCGTTGAAGACAGCGATGTGGTTAGCCCAAGTTGGCTTTGGCACCAAAATATGCTTGGTATTGTAAAATCTGTTTAAAAAGTCCGCGATAACTCTCAAAGATCCTGTACCAGAGATAGTCTGCGAGGAAACAATTCTACCGTCCTTAATTAATTTTTCCCCATTGACATCCTTACCTGAGTTGTTGAAGATAAAATTTTTAATGATATTTTGGAAATTCTTATTACCAATAATACCAGTATATTCCTTTTCAGTTTCAGCGGTCAATAATTTTTCTTCAGCCTTCTTTACACTTGGGAAGATAATTGGTCTTCCAGTGTCATCTCTGTAAGCACCTACACCCAAGTTAATTTTTTGTGGGTTGCTGTCCTTGTTGTAAGCTTCGGCAATTCCGAGAATCTTATCAGGTGGAGCTAAAGGAATTTCGCTGAAAGCAGAGATAAATCTAACTGAAGAAACAGCGTTTGATCTCTTGAAGAGATTCTTTTGAACAGTTCTAGAAAGCATTGTGAATGTCAAATTGGGTTACAAAGTAAAGTGACAATTAGTTATTACGAAACAAATCGAAGTTCAACAATAAATTTTTGAGCTTTTTGGAAAATGCTAACTTGACTCATTTTTAAATCACTATGACTCTGGCGCCAGAAATTTTTCATGCGTTTTTAATTTTTCAAAGGTGGGGTGTTTGCCAAAATAGCCGGATGTAAGGAATGCAGATGAGGGGTTCCCAATGAGTTATTTGAGAAACCTCCATACAAAATGGAGTTTTGGGCTGTTGCAGGTTCGAGTTTTCCACCGAGAAGTTGCAAAGTGCGAAGGCTAAATCCGGTTCGGTATATCCTGTGAAAATAGGTTAACGCGAACATCGGAGAAAGTAGGGCACTCCAAATCACGTTATGGGTTTAGCGGGACTGTCAAGAAGCGGTTCCAAAATCGGAAAGTCTAATAGGAAGAAACATAAGAAGCGCCAAAAACGACAGGGTACAGGATACCTTGTAGAGCCACACATGGGTTTCGTCTTTTCGGTTGATACTTGTTCAATTTGGTACCTACTGGTACAAAACTCTATACATGCATCGGAGATATGATAGACGTTAGTAAGCTAGAGAAGACGGGGCTTTTGGATTTGAGAGAATGGTACCAGAAGAGCATTTAATCCCAAAATCGTCAAAACTAGCTTAAAATTTGATTTTTAAAGATCGGTACTAGTCTTAGGGTGTCCTCTGTATACAATGGGTTTCTAAAGACATGAGCCATAAACTGTAGTGTAATCCAATGTTAGGGTGTACCGATGTCAAAGCATCCTACCTAAGGTGACTACTCTTAACACATATCGGGGCAGATCAGTCGTAATCATACTAACAAGACTTTCCAGCTCCACAACAGCTTCGACGAACCAAAGATATATTAATGCCTGCCTTTAGTAGGCCATAGTTGAATTAAACTCGTCTTAAATGGAAAGGTGCACTGTTTTTCCGAATTCGACTAAAAAAAACACAACGCAAGAAGTTCAAATGCTCCTAACGGGCGACCTTATTTGAGCTAGGCTCAGTGTAACGCATTCTAAATAGCAATTGAAATAGTTCATTCGTGCTTGCTCAACCTTGACCAGTGGCTTCAAAATAGAATTTCTTTTTAGTTTTGATGCACGTCTCTTGGTTTAGATACATTAATAATCTGAGTTAATTCCTAACACCGTCCTGACAGAGAGGAAGTCTTAGCCACTGTCAAATTGACTCCAGAAATGAACCGAACTTATAATCCTTTGCATATATAAAATCATTAGTAACTCTTCTGACTCTAGACTTATTACAATTTGATGTTGCTCTGCTTATTTCTTTCCTTCATTATTGGGTTCCAGCCGGAAAAACCTTTCCGGTTTTGAAAGGCCTGATTAAAGATAGCGAACAGGAAACCTTCCGTAAAGCTTCAGTTACTTTAAACTGATGAAGCTAATGCAAGCTGTGTTCTCTAAATAAAATAGTATTGAGCTACCTTGACTGGTTAGCTGGTTCAAAGTAGTAAGTGCTACATCTTCTATTAATTATATTTTCGTTTATTTTCATGTAGTAATGACTTTTCTATTAAACAGTACACATAAGGTCATTAGTTAGTGTTTTCTATATCGTTATAAATGCATTGGGGGTATTCCTCTAAACTTGTTCAACTTCAGCCTTGTGTTCAGCGGCGAATCCAGTAGTGGTAGCCATGGATTCTTCGCTTGGTGGAACCCATTTGGATGAAGACATGGCAGTGACACCGGAGGCATATAATTCATCAACTTCTTCTAATGAAAGACCCTTTGTTTCCATAACAAAGAAGTAAACGTAGAAGAAAGCAAAAATCAAACAACCAGCAAAGACAAATCCGTAGTAAAAGTGAATAGCGGAGGTGATGAATGGAGTGAAGAAAGAAATCAAGAAACCCCAGATCCAGTTAGCAGCAGTGGCAACAGACATGGCCTTTGATCTGATTCTTAATGGGTAGATTTCGGAAACAATACAGTAAACACCACCAGCCCAGGTTGAGGCAAAGAAGAAAATGTACAAACAGGTAATGAAGATCATGGCATCACCAGTAGAAGTTCTGGTGGCACCATCATAACCGTCAACGTACAAGTTAGTCGAACCAAGAACAGCGTAGATAATGAAACAGATGAACATAGAACCGGCACCGACAAGTAAACATTGTCTTCTACCGAATCTTTCAATTGTCCAGATACCGACGAAAGTAGATGCAAAGTTAACAATACCAATGACAATGGAGGTTTGGAAAGAATCAGTTAAACCAACAGCCTTGAAAATGGTAGTACCATAGTAGAAGAAATAGTTGTCACCAGTTAATTGTTGTAAGGATTGTAACATAACACCGGTAATGACTCTCATCAACATCTTTGGCTTACCAGTGAATAATTGACCCCAAGAAGCGGAACCAGCAAGTCTTTCTCTGTCAACACCGGCTTGAATTAATTGAACTTCATGGTAACAGGCTGGGTCTTCTGGAGAAATGTTGTTGGATCTAGCAATAGAAAGCTTAGCTTCTTCAATCTTGTTCTTTTCAACCAAGTATCTTGGAGATTCAGGCATGAAAACCATACCGGAGATCAAGATAATAGCCCAGGCGAAACATAAACCAAGAGGAATTCTCCATTGTCTGGAGTCAGTGTAGTTCTTGGTACCGTAAGTAGTACAGTAACCTAAGAAGATACCCATGGTGATGAACAATTGGAAACAGACAACCATAGTACCTCTAATAGCCTTAGGTGCACTTTCACCGATAAACATAGGAGAGACAACTGAGACGGTACCGACACCTAAACCAGCAATAGCTCTTCCAATGACAATTTGGTACCAGGCGTGTTGAGAAGCGATTTGAATGATAATACCAACAACGTAGATGACCATGGCAAACATAAGACCAACTCTTCTACCCCATACATCAGCAATCTTGGAGAAGAAAATACCACCAACAGCACAACCGATGTTGAAGATAGCAACAATACAACCGGTTCTAGTGTTAGATAAAGTGTAAGTTCCGTTTTCATCTGCACCAAATCTGGTCAAGAAATCATCCATATTCACGAAACCGGAAATAGTACCAGTATCGAAACCGAAAACGAAACCACCAAAGGCAACACACAAACAAAAGAAGACCATCAACAAATGATCTTTGAAACCTTTTTGTGCTAAGGCTTCGTGAGCAGCAACAGCTTCAGGCTCTGGAGTAGGAGTGATAGCATCTACTCCGTCTTCCTTGTATTCCTTTTCCATTAAGGAAGAAGACCCAACGGGTGTTTGAGCTCCTGAGTCGGACATTTTAAATTATAGTTTGAGGGTTATATATGATGTATATGTTGTTATAATAGAACAAATATACAAATATATGATAAGATTGTATTCTGATGAAGGAAGATGAAATAATTTCGTCGGAAAAACTATTTGGATTAACGCTGCTTTTATAGTTTATTTTGTGGCCGGCAAAAGAAAACATGCATATTTCATGCGTCATGTACAAAAAAGTTTTCACGGAGAAACCTTTCTTGCGCGAATATAATCCGGAGACAAAGTGGGGGTCAGCGCATGAGGGCCATTCTTTTGTCAGTTCCGGTAGAAGAGAGTTTGCTTGGTTTAGAGATTTTCCTTTATTTTGTGAATTGAGCCTTTGCCAATTGCCAATTTTTAGTACAATAAGGAAAGTCAAGATTACGGATAAGAATTTTTATTAATGTACATTGAAAAAAGAAATCAAATGGAAATGAAAAAGAACAGAACAATGCCAGGCTAGCATATCTAAAATGTAGTTGCCGCTAGGACCGGGAATGATTGGTTTTACGTGTATGCTCTTGTGCTTTCCCTCAATCCAAATACGCTCTGGGTTAGTGGAGCCCCATGGGGAATAATTTTTTTTTTTTTTATTTTGCACTAAGCAAGCAAAATTTTTATTATGTGTCAGGAAAAAAACGTTGGTGCATGAAAAGAGCATGAGGTGATGAAAAAACCTTGTCACTTTTTTTAAACCATAAGGACAAAAGCGGAAGTTCAAGAGTAACACCTGAAGAAATCTCCTAACGTGTTTCATTTATCGATATCATGCAGCACACCATGTATGGTACTATTCCTTTACACTGCTAAAGAAGCATATTAGCGTAGAATGATAAGAGTAGTCTTCTTAATTTTTTTTATTTTAAAACTTTATTTTGTACTACTTTTTTATTTCCTATGAAACGATCTCAGGTACTGCATATTATTTAAACTTTCGGATTAACTTCTACGTCATGATTGGTTTTGTAAGGGGAAGTGATAGAGGATTAAGATATAGCAAAATGCTACTTTGAATAGAAACCAATAGATCACAAGGAGGGGAGAAAGGCCGAGCACTGCTGAGTGACTACAATCTAGTATACATCAGAGAAATAAAGGAAGATTTAGAGTAGTAAGCATCATATTGTAGAGCTGCACGAGTCAACGGAACGGAAATGACAAAAAGAAAAAAAAATCTCTTCTGGTGAAAAAGTCCAGCCCAAAATAATAACTTGGTTACGTAAGTCTACATAGCAGCCTTTCTTAGCTTTGTAAGAAAGATGGAGGGCTGGGCTCTCGTACTTTTTTTTATTAATGTGTTCCCCAAACTTTAAATTCGGACTTTGCGTACGTTAATAGAACACGGTTTTTTGCTCGAGTCGGAATTCTTCCAATGATTGTCAATTTTAGTTGGAGAAGAAAGAGAGATGTTGTCAGTGAAATTGGAACAACTGAAACATCTAGAAGTGAAATTTAGTAAGCGAGCGATTCCTGGATGAAAGGATGAGAACCGCACTTAAGCATAAATGTGTGACTTTCTCTTTGTAAAGCTTACTGTGCAGAATTGCAATTAGTAAACTATCGAAAAGAAACAAATAGCAATAATTAATCACCTGGTACGTTAAATGTGGGTAGCAAATACGAACTAGACTTACAATTCCTTTCTTGTCAGATGTCAAATCCAATCAGTGTTTAGAATACTAACTGGGGATATTTTTTATTTCCGGAAAATCTTCTGACTACTGCAGAAAAATATACAAAATTTTTATTTTAGTCTCGGAAAAATACCTCATCACAAAAAACATACTGCGAAAACAAAAAGAAACGGGATCACTAACGGACGTACATTTAATCGAAAAATATGTACAATAAGCATCTAATGAAGAAGTACGTCAACGTCAGATATCTGTTGACCCGAGATCATGCTAGAATACGTGAAGTCATCGGTTGATTTTTTGGCACCCAAGGCTTGCTTGCTCACTTATAGGTACATTATCCACTCATTGGCTAATGCATCATCGATATGCTTGACGCACGATGATGTGCCTGTGTTCTGCGAAGTGGACTGACTCGTCAACAAAACAGGAACTCGCGGAACAACTTCGGCATGCACTCGCTTATTTCCTTGTAAGGATTTTAAGTATTGTTCCCCACCCGCTTTAACATGGAGTGGTGCAAGTGCATTCGACCCATTCCCCAAAAACCCTCATAAATGGGAACTCCGAAATCATGTTGACTGCTTCTTTATGGAGAAGTCAGCAGCCCCTACACCATAAGCTACTAAGCTTTTATTGATATGCATTACAAAAGTAGCTATTCTAACACTATGCAAAAATTGTTCCTCTTACTCCCTTCGTAGCACTGCTTTTTCAGGTATTTGATGTTACTTTTGATCTTACCTTCCCAGTCAAACAAGTAGTATATTAACTTTGTAGCCTGGTACGAAAGCACCTTCTTGAAACCCAAGTCTGACATCATGCTTTCAAATATCGTAGTGTCTATGTATCTCGAATTCTCAAGGCATGGCAAGGGTAACACGAAGAATAAGCTGCTCATGCTATTAGGTGTAGGTGGAAGCAAAAACTTAGTCAAACGTCTTAACATCTCACCTCTTTCAAGTGGAGTAGGTACAAAATTCAAAACCAAGGAACATGAAATCAAGTTGAACCGCTCGCTGTCGTTGGCAGGCAACGGTCTTTCCATGAAATTCTGTTGTAGAATCTGCTGTGATTGCGAGTTTAAGTCGATCTTAACCACATTAGCGAATATTCCGCTTGTTGATATGAAATTGGCTGGGTTTAGGCACCCGATTTCAAGGGCGCTCAATTTTTTTTCTTCCTTCGACTGTGAGTGAATTACTGCGTTATATGGAGATTGATTCAACCATTCTATGAGCTTCTTGGAAGAATCCCCACCTCTATTTGAATCCTGTCCATGTATAGAAGCAGATTGGTAAGCCTCTAGCCCACCTCTTTTCTCTATTTCTGCATCGATTTTCCCTAATTGTGAAAAAAGTTGTGGTATTGTGATGCCCGAGTCTATTTTGATGATATCTGTTGCACTGGAAGACGAGGGAAGAGTTTGAGACTCTGGGTCTGCATTAGCTATGTAAAATTTTCTCCATTCCTTCGTACTGGAAAGTACTTCCTTATAGTTGGACTCAGTAAGCTCATGATCGCATTTCTTATAATCTTTGCTAATCTTTTTCAAGATAGAATGTTTGTTCTTCTGCAAAATATGGAACCTTCTGATGAGCTGTCTTGCCTGCTGGGGTTTAATACCTTTGGGAGCAGACAACTTTTTTGCACTTGTAATGGAACGATGTCTATTCAAAAGACCCCCTGATTTTCTTTTGGCCATGCCAACACAAGCTACTAATCACAGATTGCTCTACGTAGCTACCTTAGTTCTACTCTTTTTCCAATAATGTGGAGAACATCTGCTCTGCTCGAGATTTATTTTCGATGCTCATCGCGAAAATGGAAAAACGACGAATGCCAAAAAAGATTCGACCGTGTAGATGGCAGGACTTCTTCGTACCAGTCGTCTACTTCATATTACCTATATCAGTCATGGCCGGGTCAAAGAAGAATCAAAAGATTAAAAAGAAGTCTACTCAGACTAGAAAAGTGCCAACTTTGAAGCAGAAATTGCATCGTGAATCGAAAGTCGTGAAAGTTGACAGCTTGAAGTGGAAGAAGGTTGACATTCCAGACACCTTAGATGACTTCGAGGGGTTCTACGGCTTGGAAGAGATCGATGGTGTTGACGTCCAAGTTGAAAATGGAGTCACAAAGTTTATAGTTAAGGGTGACCAAGAAGATGAAGATGAGGCTGAACATGACGCTGAAGATGACGCTGAAGGAGAAGAAGAAGATGAAGAAATCGATGCTGAGGATGAGTTCACAGGATTTGAAACTGACGAAGTTTCGACATCTGAAGAGCAAACAAGCTCTGAAAAGAAGGAACAAAATAATACCAAAGGTGCTAAAGATTCAAAAGATTCCAAAAAGAAGAAGCAACCGAAGACAGACAAGGACGGAAAGGGTGCCGGTGCACAAGGAACTTCCAACGCATTCGATATTGACTTGGAAGCAATTGGTAACACAGATGTAGACCTTGCTGAGTGGAACGACCTTAATCTCTCTTCTTATACTCTAACTGGGTTGTCTGCTCTTGGATTTATCAGTCCGACTGAAATTCAAAAGGAAACTATCCCATTGGCTCTATCAGAACTGAAAGATGTCATTGGTAAGGCATCAACTGGTTCGGGTAAAACTTTGGCATACGGTATTCCAATTTTGGAACGTTACTTACAACAATTACCAGTAATCGAACAGGCTCGTTCCCAAAAGAAGTCTCCATCCCCTACTGGTATAATATTTGCACCAACAAGAGAATTGGCTCATCAAGTTGTCGACCACTTAAATAAATTGGCACAATTTTCTCCCTTACAGCAACATGGTATCGTCAGTGTAACTGGTGGGTTATCCATTCAAAAACAAGAAAGATTATTGCTGCATGGTCCTGGAATTATCGTTGCAACTCCAGGTAGATTCTTGGAACTTTTACAAAAAGACGAAGAATTAATCAAGAGGTTAGCACTTACTGAGTTTATTGTATTGGATGAAGCTGATAGATTATTACAGGATGGACATTTCGAAGAGTTCGAGAAGATTTTGGAATTATTCCATAAAAATAGACCCAAGAGAGAAGGACACCCTTGGAAATGGCAAACGTTGGTCTTCAGTGCAACTTTTGCCAAAGATTTATTCTATAAATTAGATACCCAAAAGTCGTTCAAGAAGGCAGATGAAAAGGAATCTGCCGAAGAGAAGAATACCGAAATTGTAAAGCTTTTACATGACAAATTGAGGTTCAAGGATTCTAAACCAGCTTACATTGATAAAAATCCTAATGATAAAGTTTCGGATGCAATTAGTGAAGCCCTTGTCGAATGTGGAGCCACTGAGAGAGATTTATACTTGTACTACTTTTTGCTCATGTATCCTGGTTCGACGTTGGTGTTTGCCAATGCCATTGATTCTGTCAAGAGACTTGTACCTCTCTTAAACAATTTAAACATTCCTGCATTTTCAATTCATTCCTCTATGGTTCAAAAGCAAAGATTAAGAGCAATTGAAAGATTTACTGAAGCTACCCTGAAGAACAAAACTGCAGTTTTAATTGCATCTGATGTTGCAGCTAGAGGGTTGGATATTCCAAACATTGACCATGTTGCTCACTATCATTTACCAAGATCTGCTGACGTTTATATCCATAGATCAGGTAGAACAGCTAGAGCTGGTAAGGAAGGTGTAAGTGTGATGTTTTGCTCACCCCAGGAACTGTCTGGTCCTTTAAGGAAACTTCGTAAGGCAATTGCAGACTCTTCCAACAAGAAATACAAGAAAATTAATGCTCATCAAGATGTGAAATTGTTACCAGTTGACATGGATATTATTACCCAATTAAAACCAAGAATCACTATTGCCTCAAAATTGGCAGACAATGATGTTGCAAGCACCTCCACTAGAAAGGAAGATTCATGGGTTAACCAAGCTGCTGAAGATTTGGGTATTGATGACTTAGACGATATTGCAAATTTCGACGATGATATTCTTAAGAGAATGAGGAAGAGAAAGGAGAATAAATTGCTTGAGAAGGATGATTCTAAGGCCATGAAGTACGAATTAAAACAACTTTTGAACGAAAAGTTGAGAAAGAATGCAAGAAGGTCTTACATTACAAGTGGATTGGAAAACTTGGCTCATCAAATGGTCTCTGGTAACATGCATAATGAGGTTTTAGGACACGCAAAGATAAATGCTTTGGATGACATAAGGAAGAAGCCAAAGGTTGATGCCAAGAAAGCAGCAAAGAAAGCTGCTCCATCGAAAGTGACAAAACTTAAGGAAAACAAGAAGAACAATAAAAAGGGCAAGGTCAATAACAATGACAAAAAATAAGTAGTAAGTACACAACATAGCATTAGCAACATTGTGTAGAGTCAATGCCATGACAGCTCAAGTGTGAATTCTAGCTGAAGTCAGGTAGACGAATCTCGTTATTTCTCTCTTTTGCTATACATTTCAGAATGTTTACATCTTCTATATGTGTATTTGAACACTACATTCTATTTAACCCAATTCTTAAGTCGTCTATATTAAATATGCGTGAATGAAAAGAATAATAATAAAAAAAAAATACAAAAAAGAATAAACCTCTCCTTCAGGTAAACCTGATTATAAACGTCATTCATTAGGGTGAGCAGCTCACTTAATTACTCCATCCCATTTTTACTTTTGATAGACTTTCTAAATGAAGTCTTCATCACTATCATAAAATTCATCCTCGTCACTAAGTTCAGCCAATTGATCAAAATTAACCTTGTATCTCAATATAGCTCCTACACCACCGAAACCTTGAACGAATTGAGCACCCTCACTACTTCTATCGGTAACGAACTCTAAGTTGGCACCGAAATTCTTGTAATTTTCAGCAACCCACTCCAATAAGGTTTCTTCCTTAACAAGTTCCATCTCTGTTCCAGTAGCCTTATCCAAGGAGTAAGACTTGTCTGGTAACTCTGGGTTTACATTAGCAATGACTTCTGAACCTTCAACGTCCCTATAAGTGTACCTTATGATATTTAAATTTTCGTAGACGATTAAAGTCTCACAGGCTCCTAAATCTAAAGCCTTTAATGTGTCTTCAATACCGTAACAGAACTTACCAGTGTCTTGAGAAATTTCATCGAAATATTGGTTTAATAATTTCTTCTCCTGGACAAACTTAACATTTGCTAAGGTTTCAGCTGATAATTCAATTGCTTGATTGAAACCATTTTCTCCACCGTATGAGACATCAACTATCTTAATAACCTTGGCCTGTAATCTATTATCGAACAAATCGGATTTTGACAATTCAGTCTTGAAATCTGCGGAACCAGCCAAAATCAACCCCTTAACGTTAACTTTGTCAGCAGTAACGAAATTTTGTACGGCGACTTCAGCAACCTTTCTCACATAGTTGTGTCTTTTTTCTTCTCTAAGACGCGAAAAACGTAAGGCGGACTGACCACCTCTACCATGCTTCTTTGGTAAGTCCACGGTAAATTTTTGTAAAACCTCTCTGGTGTTACCTGAGACTGCACCAAAAAGCGCACCATTACCATCCATAACGATAAAACCAAATCTATCATCATTTTCTAATAATTCGTTTAATGCCTCTACATGGAACTTATTATCACACAAGTACAACTTAGTGTTAATTGGCTTGAAAGGTTCAAAATCAATATTCAATTTTTTTTCCTTACCTTCATCGGTCAACACATCACCACAGTAAACCACTAAACCGTTTTTAGGAACGTTATTATACAATTTTAATTTCTGTTGTGTTGAAGTAATGGCTGACAAAACTGACAACCTATTCACTCTGGACTTGATATTAGATGCAGTCCCGTATTCTTCAGTCAATAACTTCTGTGTGAGTGAAATCTGACCACCAGGTGGGATAATCAATGAGATCATGGAGGTACCATTACCTCTGGCCATTTCCAAAGACTTGATAAGCTTTTTAACCTTCCAGATCTCAATATTCTTTTCCGCAGTATCTTGTTCAGTAGACATTATGAATTAATGGTGTTTAAATGATATACTAATAGGGTAGACGAAACGAAGAAGAGTAGTGAAAATTTTTTAAAATCAACCACAAAAATCGAAAAAAGAATTAAACAAAAAAAAAAATAAAAAAGTTCTGTCTAGTGAGAAGAGGAACCTTTTGTGTAATTTCCAGTTTGTGATAGACACGATGCGAATAAGATTCTGGTGGATGAATTAGAGTTTGCAAGGAAGGAGTGTTGTGGGAGAACGTACGATAGTTGGGAAGCTGTTTAGACGCCTGGGAACTCACCATTGTAAATATGACCCAGGGGGACCCAGGTGTACTTCCATTGAGTTGAGTTCCTGGACGGATGGGTGCATCGCAACAGCCCCAGTGCAGCAGCTCCAGCGCAGCAGCAGAGCGGCAGGAGCAACACCAATTTGCGCCCAAACGTGCGCTAAGTTTCGCGGCCCTCGCTGCTAAGAAAAGCTCGAAAAGTCCGAATTTCGGTTATATGCCTGTAAGGCTGGGCCAGGGAACGGGCCAGGAGACAGGCAAGGCTGCTTTATGGTTTAGGGTGCAGTGCAGAGCGCATTGACCTCTTAGGAGGGCAATTCAGGCAGGCAGGCTGGTCAAGAACCAGACCGCTTTCTTACGTTTTTCAATTCATGTCTTGTAATATTCAGGAGCCAGGGTGTAGCATCGGACCAGTACTCACTACGAAAGCCAGACCTACACCCTACTGATGGCAGAGTGCTCTCAAAAACACCCGCCACCTCTGAATACTTCCTCTCTTTTTCTTCTCCTCCAGGCAGCTCAGAAGACTACCTGTCCCAAAGGTTGACTCTTCCAGTGCGAGCGCCGTATTCTACTCCATACTCACGCTTGGTTCTCTAAAACACACGCTAAGTTTGAGCCTGCGTACTAGACCCAAATTTAACGTTAACATTTTGCAACCAAAACTAACCTAGCGCCATGTATAAGGGTGTACTCCCCCTTCAAAGAAAAGAAATGTTCCTTTACTGTTTCATACGGCCAGATTAAACACACCCAGTGCCTTTTTTCAGTAAGTAACACTTGTTATGATATAGGCGTGCTAGGGATCTATTTCAGCTCAGCTCGCTTCCAAGTTTCCATCCGTTCCGAAGTTTCATCACTAGGCAAATTATTCACATTTCCGTCGCTGGAAAATTGCCCGCCACCTTCATACTCCCAGCCCAAAAGACTCAACCACTTTCAGCACCGTACCTGGACACTTCCTATTAAACCTCCTCTCCTGTACGCTGTACTCCTAGCGTCACCGCCTCTATCATTACGAAAGTCACCCGTCCCAGCATCCTCCTACTAGTACTAACTGTTACCAGTCTTATCAAAATCCGGCATATAAAAAGGCGTAGTCAAATTTCAAAAATTCTTTTGAAATTACATTATATGCAGTCCAATATAAGGCGGTTCTGAAATTAAGCAGAATCCCCAAAAACTTTCTTAGTCAGGCAGAGCCAGTTTAAAACCGATATCTCTTCAAGAAGCTACCTTTTGCCTTATACTTTGGTTATCTGTGACACAATTTGAGTGTGAGAAATACTTATAGTACGCATTCATAATGTCTAACAAACTCCCTGAGGAAAATGTTCTCGGAGATGACAGCAATTTAAATAATAGTAATATTAGAAACAGAGGGAATTATGAATATAATGGCCAACAGCAGGAAGAGGGAGAAGGAGCAGACGGATACGACTCGGATGCTAATTCCTCAGCTGATGAGAGTTTTGAAAAGCCAAAGGAAAAATCAAGAAAGCCATCAGATAATGCGTTTAGACAACAATCATTAAAAGCTTATAACCCTGTTTTTACCGCGAAGACCGTTATCCCTATTTTCGTGGTCATTGCGGTGATATTTGCTCCTTTGGGTGCTGCGATGTGGTATGCTAGTCACAGAATCAAGGATTTGGCTATTGATTATAGTCAGTGTGAAAATTTGGCCAATACTGATTACTTTCAAGCGATTCCACAAGAATACTTAGATTTCAACTTCCCCACCCAGAATTCAAGTTATACCCCAGTAGCTTCATGGAAATTGAGCGAAGATGACTCTCAACCATTCGATGATGAACGTAATGTTTGTATTATTCAATTTGAAATTCCCGACGACATGAAGGGGCCAATTTACTTCTTTTACAGATTGAAGAACTTTTATGCAAATCATAGAAGATACGCCAAGTCTTTTAGTGAAGACCAAATCGAAGGTAAGAGGGCGTCTATATCAGATATCAAAGATACCGTAGGACAAAACTGTCAACCCTTGCTGACAGACCCTGCCACCGGGAAGGCTTACTATCCATGTGGGTTAATTGCCAATAGTCTTTTCAATGATACGTACACTACTACTTTAACACTGGTAAATAGTTCAAGTAGTGGTGATTATGAAATGACCACCAAGGGAATTGCTTGGAAATCTGACAAGAATAGATTTAAGAAGACAAAATATAACTATACTGAAATTGTCCCACCTCCATATTGGTACAAGATGTACCCTGATGGATACAACTCTTCGAATGTTCCAGATATCCTGACATGGTATGAATTCCAAAACTGGATGCATACATCGGGATTACCAACATTTAACAAATTGGCACAAAGAAATGATGATGATACATTAGCTGCAGGTACATATCAAGTCTCCATAGGATTGCATTTCCCAGTGTTGCCTTACAATGGACATAAGTATATTTACATTTCACAGAGATCTGTGATTGGTGGTAAGAATATGTTCTTAGGTATCAGTTGGATGGCCGGAGGTGGGCTCTGCTTGCTTGTAGCAATATCCTTATTGATAGTGAATTTGATTAAGCCAAGAAAGACTGGGGATGTGAATTTATTAAGTTGGAACAAAGAGCTGTTCAAGCAAGACGATAGAGTATCTGAGGATGTTGTTGAGGTTGAAGAACAACCTGCCAATATCCCTATTTGAGTTCGACGACAAAGATTTTTTAAAATGAAAACATGACTAATATATGGAGCAGCTTGGCCTCATTTCTATGAAAAGTCATCTTTTCAAAACCATATATTTATATAATTTGAATAAATAAGATTAAGATTAAGATTAACTAGCTGAGCCATGAGCGACTGTAGAAGGTGCATCACCGCATACATCTCTACCTAGGTGCAACCTAAGAGGATGCCTGCAAGGCAAGTTACCTCCATGGGGTCTACATCGCAACTACTAGGGTAAATTACAAAGACCCTTAACAAGCAGGGGGTTCAACACATAGGCCAGTGGAAAGCGACCAGTCTACAGGATAGTACGGAACTTCTTTAATAAATAAATTTCACTATATACCCCATTGTTCACCTCATTAAAATCATAACATAATACACATATACATAATCAAACGTTCGTAGAGAACTTTTTCATTAATTGTCTAACTTGGCCTTCTTACTTGCACTGTCTGGCCCATCATACTCTCTTTTCACTGAATCTGCAGCAACCTGGTGGATAGGAGGTAAGGCATATCTTTGTCCAAACGATGGTTGTGAAGATGCAGGTGTAGGTTGTTGGGATGAATGAAAACCATCATGAGAAGGAATTGGCTGATGATGAAGATGATGTTGAGATGCTTGCTGGTGCTGTGGTTGCTGTGGAGAAGAAGTACCGTCTTGTAAGCTAATAACTTCATCCAATCTCTTTCTCATGGAAATCTCCCTTAGCCTAGCAGCTTGTTCCATTGCTTCCAATTCCATTATTCTGGTTCTGTATAAGTCATTCACAAGTTCAAGTTCGGAGATTCTAGTTTTCAAAATTGTGATCTCATGGTGAGGGTTATCATCACCCGGTGGACCGGATGATCCTCCCGAATTTCCAGTGGAGGAGTTCTGGCCATGACTATGGCCATGACCACTAGAATGTCCAGTGTTTCCACCAGTACCGGGGTTGCCTGAGTTTCCAGAACTGCCAGAGTTACCTTGGCTACTAGAATTTCCAGAAGAACTTGGACCATTGCCGCTGTGTTGCTCACCATCAGTCGCCTCAAAAGACTTATTATATCCAAAATTGTTTTGGAAGTGAGGCAAATGATTGGCATTACCTGGGCTATTATGCCCCACAATCGGTGGTAATGATGTAGGTCTGTTTTCGGGAGTTCCGTGGCCCAGGTGTGAGTCGTTAGACAATGAGAACTGTGGACCAAAGGACGGGGACGACACGCTAGTATTAGAACCCAACGAGGGAAGTTTTGGTGCTGTGGGTGCTGCAGCGTTGAGCGCAGAAGATGGAGTTGAGAACTCCTTTTTGATCGCTGGTTCAGAATCTGTGCGTAAACCTGTTGAGAATGATTTCATTAAAGAAACGTCCTTTCTACCAATCCCTAAGCTTCCGTTGGCAGCTTTGAATGACGCACTAGGGCCAAGCTCGTGGGACATGGTTTCAAGAGCACCAGCAGCAGCTTGGGCTGCGCTGAAGGCACTTCCAGTTCCTGGAGTTTTCGAGTTCGAACTTGATCTAGCGTTGGAAATCGAGCTGGTGTTGGACAAGAGCAACGGAGAAGTAATTCTCTGTAAGCCTGGAGCAAACTGCGCAGGAGTAGACGATGGATAGTGCAAGGGCTGCACTTGGTGAGATAAGTGGTGGTGAATGTGGTGCAAACCTCCAGCTCCAATGTGGGGCGTATGGATCTGCAGCAAGTGTGGAAGAGCGCCGTTCTGGCTAGCTGCCTTGTTCATGCCTGCGGCTGGAAGCAATGGGGTCAATTCACCATTCAATTTTTTGGTCTTTTGCGTCTTTGGAGACTTCTTACCAGAGCTGGAAATAACCGAAAGGCCAGGGTTTGCCGTGACTCCCTGAGGGGTGGATTGTGAGCCAGCTGATGAGCTGGATTTCACAGGGGTAGTGGAATCTTTCAGCTTGAGCTCCGGCGTGTTTGGGACAGACGACTTGGCACTATTGGGCTGCTTGATTCTGTTTCTCAGTTTAATTGTATCCGTTTTCAAGCTGATTGGCCTTGGCCGGCCGTGGAGCTTAAGAAACAAACCACAGGCATTACATAAAACCTGGCCAGTTTCGTCTCTTCTCCAAAGCGGCGTCGTCTGGGTCTTACAATTACGGCACACAGGGCTAGTTATATTGGTTTTCGTAGTGGTGGTGCCGTTGGTAATGTGCGTGGTTGTCTTGGCATTGGGGTGGACCGGGTTCGTGGTAACAACGGGAGGAAGTCTTTGAATTTCAGACATCCTGGTACGTCTATAGCGAAGCGAAGGTGAGTGACCGATGTGAAGTCTTTTATAAGTTCAGCTGGGCGCTGTTTTATGGGGGTTGGCCCGATGGGGGGATAGATGGGAGGG